TCTGGAATAGCAGGCAGTGCTCTTATCACTGAGCCATCTCTCTAGCCCCACAAAGGCTGTTTTATTTTATTTTTTTAAAAGCTTCTGTACAGCAAAAGAGGATAAGACAACCTACAGAATGGCAGAAAATATTTGCAAACCCCCATCTGATAGCAGGCTAATCTCTAAAATAGTGAAGTAATGCAATTCAATGGCAAAAAAAAAAAAAATCCCAATTTTAAAATCAGCTAAGGAGCTGAATGACACTTATCCAAAGACAAGATAAAAACAACCAACAGGTACGTGGGGAATTGTTTACTATCATCAGGGAAGTGAGGTTCACACCTGCAGGGTGCCTGATGTGGAGAAAAAGGAGCCTTTACCCAGATGGTAGGGATGCAAAATCCTGTAGCAGCTATGAAAATAATATAGAAATTCCTCAAAAATTAAAAATAGAAGTGCCACACGACTCAACATTCCCACTGCTGGCATTTTGTGAAAACAACTGAAATGAAGATGTTGGAGAAGGGGCCGGAAAAGATGGCTCAGCAGGTAAGGCAACTGGCTCCTGTTCCAGAGGACCGGGCTGGGTTCTAACAAACATCCAAACTGCAGTCCTCCTCTGGCCTTGACAGGTCCTGCATTCACATGGTGCAAACAGTCACAAAAAATAGCCATACACATAACATAATGATAAAGGGAAAGAAAAAAAGGGGGGGTGGGAGGGAGTCTCCAGTATATAGTATACAGTAACACCCATGGATGAGTTTGAAGAATGCACTGTTTGCTTAAAGAAGCTCGTCTCAAATGCTGCTTAATTTTACTAGGACACCTCACTCCAGTAGGAGCTAAAAGTGGATAGTCAGAGTGAATGGTGGTTACCAAGAGCCAGAGAAGGGGAACGGTGCAGTTGCCCATCAACTGACGAAGTTCCAGACAGAAGTTCCAGAGGCCCGTTACCCTACAATGCACCTACAGTCATCAGGTTAGATACGTCAAAGTGTTGCGTCTTTCCACAGAACTGGAATGCCAAATGCCACGCCCAGCAGTCCACAGCATGTCTTATGGAAACAGCACTGTGCTCCATCCTCTAGACAGCAAGAAAGAATGAATTCTCCACTGAGGCCTGTCTAAAACAGGACAGCCGAGTTATAAAATTCCTCTGACAATTTGAGGGATGCAGCCAATTTCTTTCACCATTTTGGGAGATAACATTGACTTTGGGTCAGAAAACAAAGTGGGAGCAGCTGGAGGACCTGAAAGAAAATACATCTTTAAAAATAAAATAAGAGCTGGCAAGCTGGTTCAGCAGATAAAGGCATTTGCCAGCAAGCCTAAGGACCTGAGTTCAATCCCTGGAACCTACATGGCGGAACAACTGACTCCTAAGAGTTGTCCTCTACCATGCACACACGCATGCGCGCGCACACACACACAAAACCTCTTCATGTGCATACACATGGTGTATATATGTGGTATGTATATGTATTATGTGGTATGGGTATTCCCACATGGAATGCATACCTGCCCATTTGTGTACCTTGGAAATCAGAGGTAGATGCCAGGTGCCTTCCTCTACCATCCCTTCACCTTTTGGGGACTGAAACAGGATCTCAGTATGTATCCTAGATTGTCCAGAAAGTGTCTATGTAGCCCGCACTGGCCTTGAACTCAGATCCACCTGCTTCTGCCTCCCAAGTGCTAGGATTCAAGGCCTGAGAGAGGGCCTCTGAACCTGCATCTTGGCACCTGAGCTGCAGTGAGATGTCTTCAGGGTTCTGCCTCCCAGGACTGGGATCACAGCCATGTGACACTAAACCCAGCTTTGGTATGAGTGCTGGGATCTGAACTCAGGTCCACATGATTACGTAGCAAGGGCCTCACCACTGAGACACGCTCCCAGCTTTCCTTGTCCCTTATTTGGGAGACTATCCAGCTTGTCACACAGCCTCAGCTGGCCTAGAATTCACCATCTTCCTGCTTCAGCCTCCTGAGTGCTAGGACTACAGGTATATCCACCATATCCTGGCTTAAACAAACACAGCTTAACCATGGGGGAGGGGTGCAGGTGTCCATTCTATTGCAAAGTGAATTTGACAACGGTCAATGAATGTCTAGAACTATAATACAGTGTTGCTAACAATATAATCATGGATTTCTAACTGTATTTAGATATTAAAATATTAAGTCATTAAGAATTTAACTGATGGGGGCTGGAGAGATGGCTCACAGGTTAAGAGCACTGTCTGCTCTTCCAGATGGTCCTGAGTTCAATTCCCAGCAACCACATGGTGGCTCCCAACCATCTATAATGAGATCTGGTACCTCTTCCGGTGTGCAGATATATATATATGCAGACAGAACATTGTATTCATAAATAAATATAATAAAAAAAAGAATTTAACTGAGAAGGTCAGGCATGGTGGTGCATGCCACCCAGCACTCAGATGCAGAGGCAGGCGGATCTCTGTAAGTTCAAAGCCAAAGTGGTCTAAACAGCAAGTTCCAGAACTGCCAGGGCTACAGAGAGAGCCTGTCTCAAAGAAACAAACAGGAAAAGAGAATTGAACTAAGAATGGGACAGACAGCGGTGAAGGAGAGAGGGATGGAAGGAAGGAAAGAGAGAAATAAAAAATTGCCCAACAGTGGTTTCATACAATTCCAGCACTTGGGAGGTAGAGGCAAGATGGTAAGAAACTCAAGGCCAGTCTGTACTACATGAAATCTTAACAACACACTTCCCACACCCCCCAAATAATCTAGCCAAGAAACTGTCCTAGAAGTGAGAATTTCACCTTTAAAGCCAGTTAAAACAAAATGGACACAGCCAATGGTATGTTACGGGAACATAAGATGCTTTCCCAGAGCAGAAAGGTGAATTGTATCTCTTATTGTTTTGGCTGCATATATGTATATGTGACGTGTGCTTGCGGCCAACAGAGGTTGGAAGAGGTCATATCCCTTGGAAGTGGAATTCTGGATGGTTTTGATCTACAGCATAGGTGCTGGGGATCAACTTGGGATCTCTGCAAGTTAGGTGCTCCTAACTGCTGAGCCATTTCTCCAGCCTCTCTAAAAAGAGTATGTAAAGCTTTTATTTTTACTTTTGAGACAGGCTACTCTATAAGCCAGGCTAGCCTGGGATGCAGTATATATAGCCAAAGCTGTACTTGAATTTTGAGCCATCTTCCGGCCTCTGCTTCTCAACTTCTGAGATTACAGGCACTGAGCCACCATACCTGGCAGGAAAACCCAACCTTAACTTCCTGATCTCTGTATACACACGCAGCCTGACTTCCCTCACACAGCAGTGACTTTGCCAGGCTTGAAAACCTTATGTGTGCACGTGAAGGTCAGGGGGCATCTTGGTATTGTTCCTTAGTACCACTTCACCGTGTGTACACGTGCGTATGTGCGTGTGTGCGTGCGCTTTGTGTCACCTGTTTTCTGGTCAGTTTTTAAAAACAATTTATTACATGTACGTTGGTGTCCTGCCAGCATGTATATCTGTGAGGGTGGTCAGATCCCCTGGAAAGGGAATTACAGTTAGGAGTTGCCATGTAAATGCTGGGAACTGAGCCTGGGTCCTCCAAAAGAACAGCCAGTGCTTTAACCACCTCTCTAGCCCCTAGTCAGTGTTGATAACTGGCCTGAAACTTGCCAGGTACCTAGGTTGTCTGGCCAGCTGGGCGCCCACCTGCCTCAGCTCTGCCTCCTCCACTACAGGGTTACAAGCCTGCTACCTCTCATGCTTGCAAGGCGGGTACTTCACCAACTGAACCATCACCTCAACTATTTTTAAGTTTTTAATTTACTATTTATATAGCATTCTGCCTGCGTGTGTGCCTGCATGCCAGAAAAGGGCACCAGATCTCATTATAGATGGTTCTGCGCCACCATGTGGGTGCTGGGAATGAACTCAGGACCTTTGGAAGAGTAGCCAGTGCTCTTAAGCACTGAGCCATCTCTCCAGGCCCTCACTTCAACTCAATAACTTTTTCAAAGGTTTAAATTTTCTCTCATTTACTTGGAGCTAGCACATACCAAAGTACATGTGGAGGTTAAGAGGACAATCCACACGGGTCAGTTTTCTCCTTCTACCTACCATGTGGGTTCTAGGGACTGAATCCAGGTCATCAGGCCTGGCACAAGTACCTTCACCCACTGAGTCACCTCGCCTGCCTCTGCCTCCATTCCTGTTTTCCTTTCTGACATTTACTTAGTATTTTGTGTGGGTGTATAGGCGCATGCATGTTATAGAATGCATAGGTCAAGAGGACAACCTGCAAGCAGCAGACCTCTCCATGTGGGTTCCCGGGATCAAACTCAAGACTAGGCTTGGCAGCAATCACTTTTACCTGCTGAGCTATCCTACCAGCCCTCTGTTTGAGACAAGATCTCATGTAGCCCAGGCTGGCCTCAAGCTCAGACCTACCTGCCTCTGCCTCCCAAGGGCTGGGATTCCCAGTAGTCTTTATTATGTATACAGAGTTTTGCCTGTATGTACAACTGCATGACAGAACAGGATACCAGATTTCATTATAGATGGTTATAAGCCACCATGTGGTTGCTGGGAATTGAACTCAGGACCTTTGGAAGAGCAGTCAGTGCTCTTAACCGCTGAGCCATCTCTCCAGCCCCTCCAGCTACTTTTTAAACTACTCATGTACATGTGCATTTCCAGAGTTATGTGAACCGTGTTAAAAAACACACTGCTTCCCCACTGTCTTACCTACTATTAGACCAGGTTCACACAGAGTTTTCTCTTTCACAATCAATTTCAAACACACTACAGGGAAGGTGGAGTGAGTAGAAAAAGAAAACCATATTTTATTTTCCTGTTAACACTGGCCATATATTCACACGTGTTCCAGTTACTCGGCCACGGCCACATCTACAACCCCGATCTCTACCTTAAATGTTCACTGAGAAATAGTCAGGTGACAGACATCCACTGTCAAACTTCAACTAGAGAACATTGCTATGCTATGCATAATTTATGAACTTAGCAGGTTAGTCTCTAGGATATTTACCAAGTTTATTTAAAAATTACTAACTCCAATGGTTTATGGTGACAGTAATATGAACATCTAATTTCAGCCAATGTTCTATTCACTGCAAACATAGAACTTCTTAAAGGATAGTTGTGGGCTCTGACACAGTGATGACCATGACCGCTGGCACAGGGCAGGCTCGGACAGGCGTCAACTACACACACACTCTCAGGGCGCTGTCATTTCCCAACTTTCCTGTGAATATTTGTCTCATAATACAATACAAATCATTTCTTTAAATAAGTAGAAAAACAAACAAGTTGAACGCATTTTCCAATTTCCTTTGAAAATAACTCTGAAATAAAAAAGAAGCTTCCTGTTTGTTAGATCAGCAGAGGTGGCCTCGACTGTGCCACTTGCTGGCACAGTCCCTGCCCATCTTAGTGCCCTGTTACAGTATGGCAAACAGACCCCCGCATTTCATGAGAAACCCCACCACCTACATTTTAAGTTTGCACTTAAATTTTTAAGACCCTGAAATAAAAAATCAAAGTATAACCACTCAGCAACACTACTGGAACCTGTGAATTACTGTAAATAGTCTTATATGTGCATATAATTAAAACAATAAGCTTTGGGGGAGGAAGAATAAAATAAATACACTATCTTTTTCATATCTATTTAATGCTGCCAAGTGTTAGGTGAAAAGATTAATATTACTAACAGGAAGAGTCAAACTATATTAATGACTATTTCTAAGTAATTACAACAATTTCCCAAAACAAAGGTAGGCAGTACAGTTTTCCTGTACAGTACAGTTTTTCTGTAGTGTAACATCACTGCTAGTCTGAGGTATGCTCCATATGCAATTAATACAAATATAAATAGGGAGAAGCCACCACTAACCATAGCTTGGTAAATAAGTTTCTTGACTAATGTAGTTCCGGGAGAGGACTAAAGGAAACAAGAAGGGGCAGGTGTCCATGGGAACATCACGTATGTGCCTTATCGTCATCATCACATATTTAATAATCCACTGTCACAAAAAAGGTAATGTTTCCAAGTACACTGACCCAGAATATACTTTATGTAGCAGAGTAAGGTTATTTAAGTATTACTAACAACTCCTCAAATTTCTCTGAACATATCCATAATCGGTTATGCGTATCAAACGCTATAAACAGACCTTTTAAACACTTTTATCTCATTCTGGAAAAGTTAACAGTACAGATGGAATACTACTGAATTGTCTAAAATTTCAAAACTTAAGGGTGAAACCAAAGAAAATATTATCGTTAGTAAATGGCTTGTGAGAAACACAAGCTCATTCTTTTACAGGTTTGAAAGGATTGAGATCCAATGATTGTTTAGCAGCAATTTTACCAAACTGTAAATTCTTTTATTAACAGGCATTATAAACAGATAATACTAAACTTACTTAAAAACCATGAGTGCCACACCAGTGAATATACAGCTCATGAATAACTTAAAATGTATTTCTCATTTTAAAAGGTAACACATAGCATACAAAAACCTATACTAAACAAATAAGCTATAATATGGATACATGATTGATGTGTCTAAAATGATATATATACAGTACATAATTGTTAATTATGTGATCAGTACATTGCTCTACATGATTCCCTTCATGCTTCACTTTCCCCAGAAACTGAATTCTGAACTTCCTCTTCTAGAATTGGTACAATCAGGTTATCCTTCGACATCAAATTATATTTCATCACAAATTTAGTAAACCGATGACATAAAAATGTTTCATTCTGTAGAAAGGAGGAAAAACAAAGTCACTTTACTATCCAAAATCAAAAGCTAGAAACAATATCAACACACATTACTGCCACCCTGACAAGAATATATTACAGTAATTACTGACACACTGCCCTGGTTAGTTTTCTGTTGACTTCAATCAAGCAAGGGTCATCATGGAAGAGGGAACCTCATCTGAGAGAATGCCACCAGATCTGCCTGCTAACAAAGCCCATGGGGACTATATTCTCAATTGATATGCACAGCGCCATCCCTGGGCAGACGCTCCTGGATATTTAAGACAGAAGGCTGAGCCTTTAATACCAGCACTTGGGAGGCTCAATCAGGGAGATCTCTAAGGATCTGAGGCCATCCTGCTCTACATAGTGAGCTCCACATCAGTCAAGCCCATATAGTGAAACCTTGTCTCAAAAAAACAAAACAAACAACAAAAGCAAAAAGAGAGTAGGCTGAGCAAGCCACGAGGAGCAAGCCAATCAGCAGTGTTCCTCGATGGCCTCTGCTCCCGCCCCCACCCGGACATCCCTCCTGATGGAGTAGAACCTAACAGCTGTAGGCAGCAACAAAGTCTTTCCTCTTCAAGTTGCTTTTGGTTGTGGTTCTTTATCACAGCAATAAAAAGAAGGCTAAGACATATACTTACTTCATATTCATCAAATATCTGCCGGTGATGGAAATAGGCATGTGAAAATATTCTATAAATCCTACGGCACACTGATCCTAGTTTTGCTACAGATGATTCTTTTATGCTAACCCTAAAATTAGAAAAACAAAACAGATTCACAGACTGGACAAAATGGTAGAGCTATATAGTCCAAACAACACCAAGGGATAGAAGAATCTGGATCAAAGTTACAGTGCTATAAGAACAAAAAGCAATGCTTGGTCCTGGGTCAGTGCCCTCTCTACTCAACCACAGCACCTTAGTTAAAAAGCTGTGTTAAAGTGTAATGCACTTAAAATGAATCCCTGGCACCTCAACACTTTTTTTTTAAAAAAAAAACCTAAGAAACCAAAGACTTTAAAAAATATTTTACACTACTAGTATTTTGTCTACTGCAGGTACTTAAAACTGCTGAGAGGATTCACTATTTTATCCTATAGAATCTACTTTTGCTTCCTTTATATTTTTGAAAATCAAAATGCATATATCTGTTTCTCTTTTAGAATATAAAATACTGGGAGAAAAATTAGATGTTATCTGTGTTTTTTAACCCTCAAAAAATTTTAGATGAGGTACCTGGAGCTAATCATATTTTAGAGGGGAAAAACCCTCTAATTCCATTTACTTTGTAACAAATAAAAAATTCCTTAATAGAATAAAAGAACAGTCACATGCCAATGTAAGGCAGACACTTGCAATCTCAGTACTTACAAGGACTGGCAGGAAGATCACCCAAGTTAAAGGACAACTCAGGCTAGATGATGAGGTTCGAGGCTAGCAGGGGCTATATAAGACCCTATCTCAAAACAAGAGTTATTCTAGGTGTGGCGGCTCAAATATCTTTAGTCCCAGTACTGGGGAGAAAGAGACAGGTGGATCTGTGAGTTCAAGGTCAGCCTGATCCACACAGTGAGTTCAAGACTACCCAAGCCTATATAGTGAGACTCAGTCTCAAAAACAATAAATAATTTTTTAATTTAAAACAATAAATGAGTAATTTTTTTCATAAACTGCCACACAGTGGTGGCACGTATCTTTAATCCCAGCACTTTAGAGGCAGAGGCAGGAGTATCTCTTTGAGTTGAGGCCAGCCTGATATACAGAGCAAGTTCCAGAACAGTCTGGGCTACACAGAGAAACCCTGTCTCGGGGGGGAAAAAAAAAGATCTCATAAACCATGGGGAGAGGAGTCTATTTTCAATTTAAAAGTGGGAGGGTTCATAAATCTCACCAGTAATACAATACAAGCAGTTTTTCCCCACAGTTTTCCAAGTTGCTTCTAAATAACTGTTCATGCTGCCAAACCTGTTTTGCAGTAGCCAAGAGTAACTCTGGAGAGTCCTAACAGGTCACAATATTGAAAATAAATGACTACTGAATGCTTAGCTGTAAATGGAACAGTACTATCAACCCTCTTCAAAGCTCATGGAACCCTGAGAAATGAGAAGTCGTAATTTAAGGGCTAGAGGAAGGTGGAGAAGTGTAGAATGCTGACTTCAGGTGTGACATGGGTGATACATTGTCGAGCTCACAGCAAGTGTGATTATATACTCAGTTAACCATTGATGGGGAGGAAAACAGACTAGGCTAAAGTGCACATGCTTTAGTAAACAAACTCTCATCCATGTGTCTAAACAACCCTAGCAAAATGTATTGGGGCACATGGTGGGGTGCTGTAGAGGGAGGGAGAGGGAAGAGAGAGGAAGAAAGCAAGAAAAATTGAAGGGGGGCAGTTGGGAAGAGGAAAGGGACGAGTGAGCTAAGAGAGGGCGATGGAGTGAACAGTACCAAAATATATCATGTATATGATAAAATGTATTTTATTCATGTATGTCATATGCTAATTTTGCTTAGAATAGCCACAGGCAAACTAAGGAAAAACAAGCAGTCTCCCTTAAAGTCTGTTCTTTATCAGGAGGCTGATGCCTGGTGAGGAGAGGCCTAGAGAAGGAACAGCAGCAGCAGGGACCAGTTCTGAGGCGTCTATGAACTTTCAGAGACAAGTTCTAATGTTATCTCACCTTAATTTCAAACTCACATAATCTGAACAAGTCAACTATATAATTAAAAAGAAAACTAAAATCAAACCCTAATTTTATCTTTCAAACATCAACCTTTAAAAGAAACCCAAAAAGCTAAATAGCATGTTTTGTTTACCTGCTGGGAAAATATTTATTGCTATTCAGAAGACATGCAGCACCATCAAGTGTGTGTCTGGTATAATCTATGGCAGGACACTAGAAAAGAGAAAGGTGTAAACGCATTAACAAGAAGGCCTCTCTTTTATTAGGTGTATGTTTACTAGCGTTTCTACCACTGTAACCAGATACCTGACAGAAGCAACATAAAGGAGGAAGGATTTCCTGTCACAATTCAGAGCTTAGTCCACCATGGCGGGACGACTGTGGTAGGGAGGGATCAACTCATGGCAGCAGGAAGGGGCCAGGGAGGAAAATGCCCTTCAGAGAGCACCTTCCAGTGTCCTGCCTTTGCTTACCAAATTCAGCTTTCCAGTTTCCGCCTTCTCTCAACACTGTTCAAGTTTTACAACCCCAGGGCATTAAAGCACTTACTAGGCCAGGGCTGGCATGATTTAGGTGTCTGTGAACGCACTCTGATATACCTACTTCACTTCATCTCCTAACCTCCTCTCAAGCCCATCAAGACAATTAACCATCTTAGGTATCTTATTCCAAAGACAAGAGCATACTCTAAGAAAAAGCCCTTTCTGATTTCAGAGTGACTATGAAATATGTCACATCAATAAAGTTTAGTTTTCACTGTGAATTATGATATCAGGCTTCTATAAGATATATTAACTAATTTCCTATTTCATTCCCAGCACTAACCCTAAAAGAAAACAGGAACAGGAAGAACACTCCAGCCTTAAATACAACTGGACAAACAGAACTTTTGAATGATTAGTGATTTACACAGGTAATGGTCGACTCACAGAAGTATACATATACATACACACACACAAAATTAAACACAAGACACACAAAATCACACAAGGACACACACAGAGAGGCGCGCGCATACACACACACACACACACACACACACACACACATTTTTAGATTCCATTCAGTAGTTTTAGAGCTCTGGGGAAATAAACAGTGGCTAAGTAAGCATGAGGACCTAAGTTCAAATCCCAAACATCCATGTAAAATGCAGACATGACCAGAAGCACCTGGAACTGAAGCACAGCTGGGAGTAGTAAGGTAGGGAGAGAGCCTCCTCTCGTCTCCACAGGTCCATGTACACACCTGTGCACACCACTGCATACACATCACACCCACACACATTAAACAAATTCAGCAGTGTTTTATGTATTTATGACATTACACAACTAGGCCCACTACATTCCACAATGTTTCTGTTCAAGTATGGACATGGACTGTTCCCCAAGGCCTATCTGCTGAAAGCATGGTTCTCAGCTAACATGTCAGGGACGAGGCAGACACTTGGAGAGATGGGGCCTAGCTGGAAGAAGTGGTCCATGGGACAGTGACCCTCGCCCCTTAATCGCTGTTTCTCAGGTGCTGTATAAACAGACTTGCCTCCCCAAATGCTCCCTTCTGAGATGTCTGGCCGCACCTCAGGTCCAGAGTAATGGTGCCAAGTGACTATGCACTGAAACCTCTCAATTCTCACCTCTTTTGGAGTTTTATGAGCTGCACAAAGAAAAATCCATTGTTCGGTTGCTGTCATTTGAGTACACGTATCTGGATGGCATTCACTCTGTTAAAAATAATTTTATTTTTTTAATATGTAGAATGATAAAAGATATGTCATTTGGGTCACTACATTTCTCTATAAAATGTGAAAAAGAAAATAAACTCTGAATAAATCTAAGCCTACAAAATTACTTTTAAAGATCAGAATTTTGAATTATAGCATTAACATAAACACATTACCTGAAGTTTAACAGCAAGTCCATTTAGTTCAAGGCAGAATTGCCTGAAAATGTAAAAATCACATTTATTATCCAGGCTTTATTTATTTTCTTATTTTATTTCATAAGGCAGCCAAACTGGTTACCTTCTTATACACTAAAAATTGATTTAATTTTTCTGGAAAGTAGCTTAGAAATTTCACCAAGACTCTAGGAAAATGTGCACTTCTTGACTAGGTCAGTCCTCTGAGAATCTACTGTGATGTAGTTGTTCCAACTGTATACAACTATTGAAAAAGGTTCACATTAACCATGTATTCAGAGAAAACTTCTGAGTATGAGAAACAGAGGTAGGAGATTGTTGATATGTACAATAAAGCCTGAAAGACATTTCAGTTATGTAACAAATTACATGTGTTTATTTTTACATACAGTTAGACAGAAAAAAAAAGACTAAATGCCTTTATAGACTTGAATATTTTTACTTAGACATGGTGGCTCAGGGCTTTAATCCCCACACTCGGGATTCTCTGAGTTCAATGCTGACTACATAGAAAAACCCTGCCTCAAAAACAAAAACAAACACAACACAAACAAATACTAAATCAGGCCAGGTGAGGTAGATAGTGAACACCATTAATCCAGGAGACGAAGGTAGATGACTCTCTGTGGGTTCAAGGCCAATCTGTTCTACATAGTGAAGCCAGGGTTACAAAGAGAGAGATCCTGTCCCCATGGTGGGAGAGGGAGGAAGTAGAAGAGAGGAGAGAAAAGAAAAAAGAAAACTCAGGACTGAAAACACCCAGTGAATGCAGTGCCTGCTATGCAAGTATGAAGACCTTGCAATCCCCAGAGCCCAGGTAAACACCAGGAGGCATGGTGGTCCTTGTGCCATTCTAGCACTCAAGAGGTGGAGACAGGAGAGCTCTTCAACAAGCTGGTTCAACTGAGAGAGTCTGCCTCAATAAATAAGGTAGAGAGAAATCAAAGAAGATTCCTGCTATCAACTTCAGGTCTCCACACAAATATGTACATCCAAACCCAAATACACATAAATGTACAAACAGGCAAAAACAGGAACAATACACGTGCAAATCTGAGGTCATAACTCAGTGGTAGAGCACTAGTGCACCTACTATGTGCAAGGCCCTAAGTTCAATTTCCAGCACAACAAAAATAGAACAGAAAAGCTTCAAAAGCTATCCTACATATAATATACAAAATTTAAATCCTCCATTTCACTACCTGCTCCTAAAAGATACTGCTTTCATGCATAGACTAAAACATCTTGGGATCATAGCCCACGTAACTTCCTTTTGTTAGAATTTGGTGGGGGTTTTCATGATTTTTTTTTTCTAAAACTGAAAATTGTAAGGCCTATGCAATGCCTAAAATCCATTAAGCACTCTTTAATGTACACTTTTTGAGATAATCTCATATGGCCCTTGAACTTGATATGCAGCTGAGGAAAACCTTAAATTCCTGATTTGTCTTCACTTTGCCAACCATGCCAACTTCTCAATATATTTTAATATATTAAAAATAGTACCAGACAGTTTTAGGCAGACATTTGATATAAGACAATCCTCTGTAGTAAAAATAAATGTTTTAGAGTTGTCAAAATATTAACTGTGTTTACTCTAAAAATCCTATCTAGTGATATGTATTCCACTCTATCCAGGTAGAATCACAACTGTTTCCACACCAAATAAAAACACTTTGGTTCCCCAAAGATGCAATACTATAAAGCCTTACAATTAGAAGATAAAACAGGTCACGAAAATTAAATAAAAAGGACACATACGAAACTAATTCATAAAACCACTTTACGCATACTATTTATTGCTTTGCTTTTCTGTGGCAGGTTTCACTTTTTGTTTGTTTGTTTCTTGAGACAGGGTTTCTCTGTGTAGCCTTGGCTGTCCTGGACTTGCTTTGTATACCAGGGTAACCTTGAACTCAAAGATCCACCTGTCTCTGCCTCCCCAAGTGCTGGGATTACAGGCAGCTATTTAAGTATATTTTAATGGATGAAAACAAAAGGTAAAGGATAAATTTTCAGTTTTCTATGATTATACTTCCTTTCCAAAATACTGCGCTTAGACTATTAAAACAGCACTCTAACAAAAAGACACATCATACTAAATGACACTATTTCTGAATCACCTACCACTGTCCACCACTGCGTATCAGTAAACTGTATTTTATTTGGTTCTGAGTGACTATTCACTAAGAAGTAATAAAGATTCACAATGATAAGGGCTTACGTAGTTCAACTAACTCATTTGGTAGTGCTGCAGGTATAATCCAGCAAAGAGCACAAATTGACAGGTTCAAATTAATCTACAGAGAGCTAACACAGTGAAAAAGACAATCCAGAGCTAAAATCCACACATCCTGCAATGGGACTACAGCCTTTCAAAGGGGCACCTTCTCCTAACCACAAAGATTCATTACGAGCTACCAGGAGATTTGAATCAAGTTATAACTCAATTGGAATTAACAGTTATCAACTGCATGCTTGTAATTCTAGTACTCAGGAGGCTAAGGCTTAAAATCCACACCAGCTGTGATAACATTTGTCTTCAATCCCAGCACTTAGGAGGTGGGAGACTGGGAGACAAGTGGATCAGGAGTTCAAGGCCTGGGCTACCAAATAAGACCTTGTCTCAAAATAACCAAAGGACACTCAAAGAACGTGGAGTTGTGGGAAGGAGGGTGGGATTGGGAGGGGAAGAAGGAAGGAGCTACAGGGGGCTACAAAGTGAATAAATTGTAATTAATAAAAATAAAAAAAGAAATTGGAGTTGTGATTTACAAATTTTCTTTGATTCATAATTATTATTAGGAGGTACTTATTAGTGTACTATTAATAGAACTGTTAGTACTATCCTGAGATTTCATAAAGACCTACCTTAAATGTTCATATTTCCATACACCTTCATCTTGGCCTTCAGGTGGTTCAAGAATTTTGTCAATATTTGAGCAGTCTGCCCTTATATTCTGTTGAATATACTATAAAGAAAGAAGTATTTATGGTTAATTAAATTATATAGATGTTGTATTTCATGCTAACTATGTTTAATATTTTTTGTTGAAATTATGTAGCTCTGGCTGTCCTGGAACTCGCTTTGCGCAGGAAACCATGGCGCTGGCTTGGCTGAGCCATAGCTCCTGGGGCACAATGTGCCTTGCAGTTCCTGAGACACCAATGCACTCCCTCAGGCAGCAAAGTGTTCAGGCTGCTTTGTGTTTCTCTCTATGTTCCCTCAGAAGTCATGGAAGCAAAGAAGCTTGACAGGACAATTGATCTTAGACATTAATCTTTTGTACCCTGTAAAGTTTGCAAACATCATTGTACTCTGGCAACTGTCACTATATTCTATTTCTCATAAAAGTATGAAAAGTCTGATTGCTCGCAATAAAATTGCCACAGGTGAAGTTTTGCTGTGGCCCCTCCAACCAGCCTGATTTCATTCCTCATGGCCATATCAGATGACCCTGGCCTGAACATAAGCGCAGCCACTTACAGCTATAGACCAGGCTGGCCTCTAACTCGCAGACATCAGTCAGCCTCTGCCTGCTCGGTGCTGGATTTAAGGCGTGTGCCACGAAGGCTAACTCAAACATCAATTCTCGGGCTTCTTCGTCATGAAGTTATAGGCATGTGTGTCGGGAGCCGTGACTCCAAGCGGCCAGCTTTGAAATTTAAATCTCGGTGGAGAGATGGCTTTTAGCAGGCCTTTACTAATGGCAGAGAACTTGCAAGTCCATCTCCTTTTGTTTGTGACAGCAGGTGGGATAGCTTGTGAGGGTCACACCTCTTCCTCTAGCTCCTTGCAAATTAACCTATTGTTCTGAGATGTTTCTACTCTGGCTCAGAAACTCTACAATAAAAAGACAGGCCGACAGTTACAGTTTCGGCAATAGAAGGCTGGAGACAGAGAAGAAGGCTGGAGACAGAGTTGGAGGCAGAGATTTGAGGCTTGCTGCTGGCACTGCTTGCTGCAGCAGTCTGCCTTTTGCCATGGCTGTCGAGTCTGGACTTTTAAAAAGTTTCCTGTGTGCTGTGTGTTCATTTTATTAATTTTAATCCTCACGCCCAACTCAAGAACCGTTCGACCCTGCCCGGCTGGCCCCGGCAGATTGGCGCCCGGGCGTGGGACTTGAATGCCTATTTAAGCCTTTCTTGTAGTGTGGTGATTTAGGGGTAAGAGAATGGTTCTCACTATGTGGCCCAGACTGGCCAAGCACTCAAGTCATACTGCTACCTTAGCCTCCCAGGAATCTAGACCTAAGATGCCTAGCATTTTCTCAGATTGTTTTTTTCCATTTCATCCTAATGATCTTAAGTTTTGATGCTCTCAAGTTAAGTGCATTAATCTTGAACCACCTCAAATTCCACGTAATAATTCTTTCCAAATTTCCACCTGTTGTGAATATAAACATGTTTTTGTTTTGGTCCCAGGTGTGGGATTGATTCAGATGGTCCACAGCAGCAAAACCTATTGCTTCGTGAGAACTCTGAGAGGACCTCTTTGCCAGCTGCAGATAGTTTAGCTCTGAGGGCTCTGGAGAGAGAATAAATACCAGAACCCAGAGAGTGTGGAGGCTCTGAGAAAGAATAACGCTGCTCCTGCTTCCCCCTTGCTGCTTCTGGTTGCTGTTGTGAGACAAGAAATTGGAGATCTCCTGAAACGAGGATTGGACTAGCTCCAAGGTACCCGATGACCCCAATCAGCAGGAAGCAGCTAAAAGAACTATATGCCTTTTCTCTCTACCTGGTGTTGGGATGTTGGAAAGGATTGAGATGGAATAGGGAGAAAAAGATATAAGAAATATAAATAAAAGTTTTTAAAGACTAATGCCAACATCACCCTCCCCAACATATAACTCATTTTCAGTTCTTTTATTTTTGATATCATAATAAAATTATAATAATATTCTCCCTTTTTTTCTCCCCCCAAAGCCTCCTATATGCCCCTCCTTGCTCTTTCAATTTCATGGCCTCTTTTTTTATTAATTGTTGTTATATACTATACATATATTAATATATATTCCTAAATACATACATACAACCTGTTCAGTCTGTTCATAACTAGTTTTTATTGTAATTTACATTCTTTATATATATATATTTATTTATTTATGTATGTATGAGAGCTTTAGCTGCATGTACATCTGCATGACAGAACAGAGCATCAGATCCCATTATAGATGGTTGTGAGCCACCATGTGGTTGCTGGGAATTGAACTCAGGACCTCTGGAAGAACGGCCAGTACTCTTAACCACTGAGCCATCTCTCCAGCCTCCTGTACTTTACATTCTTATACTTTTCAATCCTGTGAGTTTGTTGCTGCTGCTGGTTTAACAAATGTGTTAAATGTACTAGTCTGCAATGTACTGGCATACACTCTCCAACAGTATGTATACATTACATCTCATCTCTGCATCCTGCTCTCACAGTCTCATATTTCAAACTTTTTCATTACTATCTGTTATGCTAACCTGTGATTAATGATATTCTGATGTAACTATTTTAACTGTTTGGGAGGGCATAATGAATTATGCTTCATACAAGATGGCAAATAAATTCACAAATATTGTATGTTCTGAATATTTCATTGATTAGCCATTCCCTTATTTCTTTCTCCTCAAGTCCCTCTAACATAATAATACTGAAGAAAGGCCAGTTTAAAATAGTCTCTTAACTATGCAAGTCAAAGAGGAGTCACTGTTCATCACTTTTAAGTCACAAGCTAAAAATACTAAGTTTATGAGACATCCTTTCAGAAAACTGAGACAAACTAACAGTTAGGCTTCCTGTGCTAGTTGGAGCCACACTGCAAATGAAAAGGATTTTTGTTTTTTTGTTTGGTTTGGTTTTTTGTGGTTTTTCAAGATACCGGGTTTCTCTGTGCAGATCTAGCTGTTCTGGACTAACTTTGTAGACCAGGCTGCCCTCAAACTCAAGAGATCCACCTGCCTCTGCCTCCCTGAGTGCCGGGATTACAGGCATGCACCACCGAACCCCACTACAAAAAATTCTTGAAGGATACTAAAATGCTACCCTAGTGAATAAATCAAAGATAAAAGTAAAATGAGCTGGCAATGTAGTTCAGTGGTAGAAAGCTTCCAGATGTAAGAACAATGGTAGACTACTCAGACCACATACTGTAAATCATTCTAAATACCTTTTCAAGTACATATTTATACATGTTATTCTATCCCCTCTGTTCTTTGGAGAACCCTCAGTAATATAGAGTGTGCTGGCTGGCTTTACCTCAACTTGACACAACCTACAGACAACAGAGGAGCCTCAACTGAGAAATGCTTCCGAAAAATCAGGCTGTAGGCAAGCCTGTGGGGTGTTTTATTAATTAGTGATTATTAAGAGTTGCCAGCCTACTGCAGGTGGTATCACCCTTAGGAAGGTGGTCCTGGTTTTATAGGAAAGCAGACTGCGCAAGTCATGAGGAGCAACACAGTAAGCAGCACCCCTCCACGGCCTCTGCATCAGCTCCTAACTTTAGGTTCCTGCCCTGATTTAATTCCTATCCTGACTTCCTTCAGTGATGTACTATAGATGTGGAAGCATAGCCAAATAAACTCTTTCCTCCCCAACTTGCTTTTGGACATGGTGTTTCATCATTGCAACAGTAACCCTATTTCAGACAGTGACTGAGGAGGCTGAAGAGGCTGTCAGGTTCCCTGGAAATGGAGTTATAGTTAGTTGAGCCACCTGATGTGGGGGTCCTGGAAACTGCACCCTGATCATCAGCAGGAACAACTCTTAACCTCTGAGCCATCTCTCCAACCCTAGGACTTACTACTCATTAAATATGCTACCAAAACTTAAGATAATTCTCAGAAAGCTACAAAGTCATTTGCAAATCATAAAACCATTCCTATTTTCAGTTTCAAGGCAAAAACATAGCATCCATTACAGCCAAGCCTGGTGTGTATAATTGTAACCCTAGTACTTGGGAGGTAGCCTCAGGAGGATCAGAAGCGCAAGATCCTCCTCAGCTGTGTACCAAGTTTGAGCCTGGGCAACAGTAAGACCCTGTCTCCAAAAAAAAAAAAAAAAAAAAAAGACTGTCCTGCTACAATATCAGGATAAAAGAGCTGAGTGGGCTGTTTATGAATAAGGAATGACTACTGTTTGTTTTGGGGTCTTTAAGGATTTTTCCGTTTACATACCTGCCACAGGTATGTAGAGGTCAGGGGAAAAACTGTGGGAGTCAGTTCTCCTTCCACCATCACCAGGCAGGCAGGACTGGCACCAAGTGCCTTTACCAATGAGCCATCCAGCAGCCCTATCAGTCTTCCTGAGACATAGTTTCCTCTGGCCCCTGCCTCCTGAATGGATGCCTGATGAGGTCAGAAGACAGCATCCAATCCCCTAGAACTGTACTTACAGACTGTTGTGACATGTGGACGGTGAAAACGTGTTACAGAAGCCAGATCCTCTGGACGAGCAGTAAGTGGTCTAACCACTAAGCCATGTCTCCAGTCTCTAATAAGAGCTCTTTAAATGTCATAGTGGGGGCAAACGGGGAGCAGAGATGGCTGAATGGTTAAGAGCACTGCCTGCTCTTCCACAGGGGTTTAATTCTCAGCCATATGGCAGCTCACAACTGTCTGTAACTTGGTTTTAGGGGAGCTACCACTCTCATAGACATACATGCAACAAAACATCAATGCACATTTTTTTTTAAAAAGGTGTAAAAAATAGATAAAAATAATTACTCTAAAGCAGGCAGTGGTGGCTCACACACCTTTAATTCCAGAGCTCCGGAGGCAGAGGCAGGAGGGTCTCTGTGAGTTCAAGGCCAGTCTGGTCTACAGAGTTCCAGGACAACCAAGGTTACACAGAAAAAGCTTGTCTTGAAAAACAAAAAATAAAAATAGTTTCTTTACATTCTACTTGGTATACAATAGTATTATGTCTAAAAAACCTGTGAATACTCAAAAAATACTTTATTGTGCTAGGCATAATGGCACACAACTT